GGTGGAATATCGGCGAAAGTACCGAGAAATGGCGGACCCTCACGCTGAGTGCACTAAGCCGCTTGGTGGAATGCGTCTACACAGAAGAACAAATGCTTGTCAAACTGCTATAGGTGCACAAAAGCAAAAGAAGCAAGCTGTGTGCTAACGAGTATCGTGGTAGAAACTGGTTAAACTGCGTTTAACTGATTTTCCGGGTCTTGCTCAATCACCTTGTGAGAATAGGAACAACTCCTGACCAGTCTTGCAGAAAGGCTTTGCACTTCAGTCTATGCGACCATACCAACATGTGGGAGAGGTTTCGTCAATATATGTAGCATGCCTTGAGCTATCTGCGAGGGATCGCAGTGAAGTCTACTGGAAGCAACAAGATCGGTTTGTCGGAGTCGATTCGAAGCCGCTGGGTCACAATTTTCCAAAACGCTTTCTATATCGGAGTTGGACAGAAAGGCCAGGTAGCCCTGTTGTACGCTAGTGGGGAGCGAATGTTCGCCATAAACCCACACTCAGCTCGAAGTTCGAGAATAACTGAACAGATGGTGTAACAGTTCACAAGGAATTAACAAGGATACAGTCGTGTATAGCGCCTAGTCCAGACGGGCTATCTCCTATAGTTCGCAAGGAATGTGCCAATGTCTTAGCACAGCTATTTTCTGAACTTTACACCATGTGCCTACATCAGCACAAGATAGCCGACTGCTGGCGAAGCGCCCGTATTACACCAGTGTCAAAAGTACCGGCCCACTGCTTTCACGCCTGCGGCTTTGAAGACATTAAAACGATTTATAGTTCAAAAAATGCTTCTCCATACCCACTCAAACGAATCTTTTCAGTTCGCCTATCACAGTTCAAGGTCTACTTTGGATGAATTAGTCTGTCTAGCACACCTCGTACTTCATCACTCGATAGAAAGAAGAAACCCACGCGGATCTGCTTCCTAGATGGTAACAACGCTTTCGGGAGTATAAACCGTCAACTGTTGTTACACGATCTACTTGTTTCTGGAGTTCAACCTTCATTAACATCTTTTCTTACAGACCACTTTGCCAATCGTATGCAGGTTACCAGGAGTGGGAAGCACTTCCTCATTCACCACAAATTCAGGTGTTCTTCTTGGAGTTACTCTGTCCCCATTCCTGTTTTCCACCCGCATTAACTCCCTTCTCGCTCTAAAGGAAGCCATTCTACTGAAGTATGCTGACGACGTGATTCTTGTCGTACAAATTCACATGACAGATTCGTCGGCCAACTTGCAGTGCTTCTTGAACAATCGCACCGCTCGGTCCAAATCCCCCTCAATCAATGCATCAGTGAAAAAATGTTCTTTTCTCGCTGTCCAAGGAAAGTGGTTATCAGCAACTCCTCACGCGAAACCCGCATCTTGGTATTAACAGTGTCAGTCTGAACTCCTGTACATTAGTGAAATATCTAGGAGTTCGCTAAGTCGGGATCTCAGGTTGTCTCGTCACGTGAATGAAACATTCACCAAAGTCAGGAGACTAACGTTCTACGTCTCCCGACTTAGATTTTCATCTGTGCTTCGTTACTTGATTCTACGGTTTGTCAGCGCTTGTGTAATAGCACACTGGACGAAACGTTCACCTGTGATATTTTCCGGACGCTTAAACGGGCAATTCAAAGCGACCAACAGGTCACTGAACATCTTACGCGATGCAGCGGAAGTTCCTATGCTACTGCTTATTGACATAATTATGTCCAATCAAGTTCGCTCCTGCGAAAAACTGGCTTCAAAAATACTCACTGATGCCAGTCACCCTTTCTATTATGCATTGTCGGAATGTATTTCGACTTCTCCGACCAGACAAACGTACAAAGCCATTGATGTCCGCACACGGGCTTATGATACACGTCAGTTGTTCCCTATTTGTCAAGTTTTCTGAAGTATCAAGATGTAGTCAAACAAGACCTTAGTGCCAAACTGTATCGATGATATCGGCACTGCCACATTTTCAAGTTTGTGGCGCACCGCATATAATTGTCATATTTTTATTTGATTTTATTTGTGTCCTTAGCGTGTGTGTTGTAGCTAAATATGCACTTTTCATGGGTGCATAAAGCGCTGTGCTGACTTGACTTGAAGAGTGTAAACATATCTTTCGGGTGGTATTTTAATGGCCCTTCCCAATGGACTATTCCAATGAGCGGCCCTGTCAGCTGAGTAAACGCGACTGATATGTTCAAGAAGATAACGAGTGCCGATCGACCGAACAACATTCGATGATGCCCGAAAAGTTGGGTCTTAGGGACGTGAATCAATAGGACGTCGATTTGAATAAAACGCAGTTTGTCTTTCGTGTATCGCGCCTGAATCTCAGTAAGATTAGGTCGGTGAAAAGTTTGGACGTAACAAAAATGAACATATCCCTTCGATAGCCATAATATTCGGCCCGGATAGCCTAACGGAAGGTCAACCTGACGTCACTTCTGCTCAAATCCGATAGCATGACTCCTAAAGTCCAATGTGCAGATGAGAAGTAGGCATGTGTGCAGGAAAGAGCCGAAGGGAGCACATCTAGGCTCAGATGATTGTAGTGTTCCAGAAGATGAAATCCATGTAATGGCGAATTTCAGATGGCGTCCATCGTGAACGGCTGAGAAAAATATCAACAGCGCTGCTGATCGGTTAGGCTGCTATCCCGAGGTGCGCCTTCCAACGTACAAGTCAATAAATGCTACAAATTGACTCGCGGTTGATTGCATACAAAGTTTTGCTTACAGTCAACTTTTGTTGACACTGGATGAGATAAGAAGGAATAGCTAAATCTACAATAGTACCGATGACACATCACGTTCACCAGGCATTAATATGGTTCCCGAGTAGCCGAGTGAGTTCAAAGAGCTTCAAAAATCGTGCAGAATTACAGCGAATAACAGAATTGCTAACAGCAATAGACGGCAGCAGTGGACCTGCCCGGCGAGCTCCGAATGTGTGCGTCTCAATGTCAGCGAATAGACCGCCTAGGAAAACCTAAGCCAATGGCACCTTGGAAGGTGTTAAGAAGACTTGAGACAGACGCCTGGCTACATCAAACCGCTCTCGACGATGCCGGTATTTACCATAAAGTTAATGATCAGAAGACAAGCACTACGTAGGGAGTCGTAATAACTGAAAGCAATGTCGTCAGTCGGCGTCCACAAGCGAGCCGAAGCTGGAAACCACCAGCTGGCGCGTCTCACTCAAGGTCGCTAAAAGTAGGATCCCGAGAAAATTCGGCAGCGATCTGTACACAGTCGAGAGAGGCAATCACTGTTGTTGATCTTGCAAATGCCGTGACTGTTGATCACCGAGTTCCCGCACGCCAATATTAATTCGGTAGTTGTATCTCCGGATAATCTCATCCAAACATGTCATCGGAAGTCGCAGAAGATGAAACCAGTCGTAGTGTTGCGCTAAAGCCCCGCAAGCGGGCACACACGTGATAATGAATATTGATAGCAAGTTTTTTCCCAGAGCGCGAGCACGTAAAGCTAATTGGATAACTGACCGAATGTTGAATCTGACAGCTCGGTTTTGAACTGTTCGATATGATAAATAGAACTTCGTTCCGAGTTGCGTGCCGTTGGATCTTCTGAAACAAAAGGGATTATCAGGAATTGAAGGTCAAACAAGCGTAAGGCACTTAGTTTGCAACGCTTTAGAGTGTGGATTGGCGCTACTGGCATCTTGGTGAGGAAAACATCTCCAAAGAGTGAAAACGGAAAGCGTCGAGCCGTTGAACTAGTTGGTCATGGGATGCGTAGGTGTAGTCCTCTATAGTTGCCCAGAAGCATAGCTGGTATGTACTCGGGGCCGTAGAAACGTGACCCACAAGGCAAAGTGATGATTAAGGTATACAGTGAACCGTTAGGATTCAGTAGGCAACATAAAGATAATAAGGCTAAAAAATGGTGTAGAGACACTCAGTAAATAAATCTTTTATTTCTCAACGATGCGAGAGACTATTCCCACATAGCAAAAGAGCCAAATATTTGCAGAATTTCTCAATAATTCCACTCTATATATTGCATGGGAATATGTGTGATGTTATGTTCATGACAGTTAAGCACATGCACGTTGGTCAGGGAGAAATGCATAAGATGGTATCAGGGTTAGATCCTACGTTAACTGATGTCCCGTCGATCTGGACCAGCGCATTCTGACCAGAAGGCGGAAATGGGACTTTAATGGCCGAGTCAGTTTTGCTAACTCCCTCTGATGTGCAATCCAACTTCATCAAACGGTGGAAACATGTTCAGAAGGACCGAATATTACATATGGCGGCGCATAAGCCAAGAAACCTTTTCCGGATAGTCGGAATTGCCACCATATGCGAAGATGGCTGATACTCGAACGTCGAATTCAAAGAAAGCTGTGTTTAACAAGACTGCTCGTCGGTCCTCTGTTGTGCATTCACTTCTAGTAGCCGGGGCACACTGCGGATGAGTTTATAGTCCGTCACGCAGATTTCGGCAAGGCGTCCAAAAATCTCTATGGCGACCAGCAATCTAGTTACACACTGAAACGCATGGCTTCGATGCGCCGTGCCTTATCCAGAAGACAAAGTGCGCGTTGCGGCAGAGTACGTAGCACCATGCTTCCCTAGGTGGCTTCACTGCAAAGAACCGGATTTCATGAGAAGTTATGGTCGGATTATGAAAGGAACACATATGTGACTCATCAAACCGAGGGGTACTAAATTGTTCTGAGGCACAGAATTAGGGTGGGTACCCAAGTATCTTGTGCGCTCTAAAGTTAAACCGAAACCCATGTTTATCAACGGGCTGAAAATATGTATCGTTACGTCGGATAGTGATTCGGGATGTACGTAAAGTATAAGTCCCATGAACCTGAACACAGTCTAAAATTTGTTGCGGTGTTCCTAAGAATCCTCGAACGAGTTGGTACGTCAACTCATACCTATAGCTGGCCGCTAGACCAACATCAGTCAGAAGATGAGTTGGAAGGAACCCATCCGACCATCATCAACATGCTGAAAATCAATTGCGAGAAAACCCATGGTAAAGCACAGTAAAGAAAGATCATTAGCGCATCAAACAGTTGAGTAACGATTGGGATGCACAAAAAGCATGATAAAGTGGTTTCCGAATGGCCTAACTCCAATACACTGGGCCGACCGTAGACACTAGATGGAAACCTAGGCTGTCATAGCGCGTGTGAGACCAGATGTGGATCTCTTGTTGCTCAGGCACGATAACCGGTAACACATGGACTCAAACAGCCCAAACACGCGATCGCATCTGGCAAATTAAAGATGGAACAGCAAAACAAATAAGAATACAAGAGAAATATGCACACTGTTATGACACGATAGTGTAAATGAAAAACATTATAATCTGACAAGGTTACAGAGATTCCACAGCAAATGAAGTTATACGTCAAAAGTTCGGATGAGGTATGAAATATGCACACGTGGAAGATGGCAATTACACACTGAGGTCACTCGGGGTACCGGTTCACGTAGACTTGAAGGATACACCAACACATTTTCCGTGTTTCCAACCCGATGACAAAGAAAAAGCAAAAAGGAGAGAACCCGTTAGGAAAGTCGTGCTTGTCGTAGTCATCGTTGACAAAGGACTGAATTCATACGAAAAGGAGTTTGCAGATAAGACGGAGTGCAGCCTAGACAGTGTGGATACAGATACATCTGTGAACTGTAGAATAGTGCCGCATCAGTGACCTGGTCTGGCTCGTTTGATTTGATACAGATTTTCTTTAGTGTTGGAAAGAAATTGAAAAACGAGCTGGGTACATGCAACACGCCTCGCGCGCTGGTAGCGTGAGCAGCTAACCTGTATCGTGTTGATTCGTGCAGTTGAGAGGGGATGTATGTAGGATAAACAAAGAGTAAGATTTAGCCGCAGGCACTCCATCTAAAAGTCTGAACAGTGGTCATTTGCCTCATTCACACAACCAACGACGAATAGTCAATGTTTGGGAACATCTGTCTCTGGGAACACATTAGTATACGATGACGAAGAGGAAAGTTTCCACTCCTTCTATCGAGTTGAATGCAGAGAAAAAAGCATATTGGTGTATCCGCAGTTACTGCGTGAAACGAATGACATGTCCCCAAGTGTGCACATCGCCTACGCCTTCTTATCCACTGTAGGTGTCAAATGAACCACACCGACTAGTTCCGCCGCCGTCGGTGCTCTTAGCGCTGTTCAGTTGGCTGCTGGTACTCGTGTTCGAAGCACACGATCCAATGGAACTGGTATCAGAGATGGCTGAACTGTGCACACTGCTATTAACCGTCGCTCCAGCCGTGCTGCCTGTGTTGCTGTCACCACCGGGTGCTCGCAACGTGAGGGAACAAGGGCTCAAATGGCGAATGCGTCTTGCTAGTGGTACGCCGGAACCAGCAGGAGGGACCAACATGGGGGCAGCGGAAGAGTCCAGAGGAAGTGGGTCTGAATCGACAGTTGCCTTGTCGGCAGTTTGTGCGCTTAATTGTGCCGAAAGGCTGTCAATGGCTTTTGCATCCATGGGAAAATCGACAGGTGGGAGGGGATCAATGTCCATCCCGTTGATCTCAGTTGAGGTTCCCACCGCGTCTGGACCCATGTCCATGGTGGCTTCAGATGTAGTGTCAGTCGTGAGGGCATCACCGGGCTGTGGTTCCGGCAAAACGGGTGGCGTCGAGTGTACCAACAGAACAGTGTGTTGACCTCCAGCATCCACCATGGACACATGCCTGAGATGGATGAAAAAAGCATAAGTAAGTGGTTATTGAAGCAAGTGCAGTCACACCGATGCTAATGTTGACCAGATAAGGAAGTCGCTTCACAAACAGCTTTTAGGGAAAAAAATGGATATCACTTTAGTCAGTCGATGAAAAACACTTCGTGCAAGTTAGGTGTCAAAACAAAGGCCACTGTCGATACAGCCAAGTATATCGTCGACGGTCACCATTGGCGGTGTGAGCGATATACTGATGCCTACAAACGATGCAAAGCCATGTTCCACATCGCCAAGTTAGCAATAAAAGACAAAGAGGCAACAGTTAGCATTGTTGCTCGGACACAGTGCGATTATGAAAAAGAACTATATTTTAAGATCAGAGTGAGGTAGTCCAGCTGCAAGATAAATAAAGCTAAGTACATGTGCGCCAAGTAAAGTGCCGAGAAATAATGAGGAAAAATGTTACACGGTGGCAGATAGAATGGATGTGCAACTAACACTGCATGAGAACTCGGTAAGTCGAGACGCTATCGCTTTTTTCAGAGATGGGCGTAAGCCATCAGTCGTAGCCCGTGTGTGGTGGTTGCATATTGTAACAAATGCGGAAGTTAAACAGCTTGTCTTGGGTGGAAGCGATCACTTGCTTAAAGAACTCGTCCCGCCGCGGTAGCTTGGACACGTACTGCGCATGCCTGCTCGTCGTCTTCCGTGTCGGGTGTTGTTCGAGGTTGCTGGACAGGACTGGAGAAGGCGTGGTGGACAAGCTATAAAATTGAGAAGTCGCATGAAAAAGCTGGTGAAATATTTGGCCTTGGTTGTTCTCGACTACCTGATTGGGAGCTCAGAGATACAGAGTGCTGCCGGTAGGAGACCCTAAAAGTCATGACTCAGGACCAATGTCAATGGCATACGTGTATGTCTGCGTGTTGCGGTGATTTTTCTTCCCTTGCATATTAAACAAACCATTTGAAACTCAAACTACTGAAAAATGCTGCATATTTTGCTTCCCCTTCGTATCCTGTTTTCGACATGATGCTGTGGCGTCAAATTAAGCCACTAATGGGTATTTGTATCGTCATAGAATTAATGTTCGTATTACTCTTATGATCCACGAACCAGTGTTATCCGGTTGGGGTTCGTACAAACGTTGCTAGGATTTACACACCCCGTCCTTTATTAGGGAAAAGCTTTTCTTGTCCTAGCTAGCGCAAAACTGATGGAAAACCAAACAGCCATTACTGTCAGTTAGGTGACTAAAAATGAAACATGAATTGGTTTCTACTGAACACACGCGTTTAGCTACGAACTGCAGAGAATTGTTTGTGGACGGGTAGACTTGATATACTATACAGGAGCGACACAGACCTAAATTTCAGTTCGTTTTAATTTGTTATTTAAACAAAAGACTGAGCGCTCATTGTGGTATTTAGTCTGATAAGTTCTAGCTGGATTCCAACATGTGTAATCTAGGACTAAGATATGGAATTTTTCACTTGACCTAATTGTTATAGACAGGAATAACTAGATGAAAATGAAAACATTAATATTAGGCTGATGTTTGCTAAACTCCTCTAGGTATTCAAAACAGCGTTGTGGATTTGCTCTTGTAAGGCGAAATACTTTACTGGGATTGCTAACTTTGCCTACCTTTATTCTTAATCTCAAATTTTCTGTCTTTTTGTTACTTTTAACTGATAGAACACCCCCAAAAGTTCCTCTGTTTTACAAAATGGTCAAAACAAGCATTTGTTTGCTTCTCGCGCTGTCGCAAATTTTTTTGAAACGGTTTTTGAGTTTATGATTGTATTCGCCTAGAGGTGATTTCCGGCCAACTTCTCGAAGTCAAATCAAACGATCGACAGAGTAGGACTACATTGCTGACTTTAAAATAGGTCCATCTAAACAAATGATAACATAGATGAGAATTGAGTGTTGTCCACCCGAAAACACTGCACAACCACGACACGTTTCGATGTAATTTCATCTCATCAGGTGGAGACAGCAGGCCTCCATCCCGCGACCATTGGAATAGTAGCCGAAACCTCTACCCCTTTGGCTATTTCTATATAAATGATTTCAAAAAAATTATCAATAAAAATTTAGGAAAGAGGAGATACACTGAGCTGGCTGGCAAGTTGGGCTCAGACGATGTCCTGCTAACAGATCACAGATTCCACTGATCTTGTCAGGCAATGTACGACTGCTTCTCGGGAAATTTGTTGGTCTCGAGAACATTTCGCAACGAAGAGAATTCACGAATGTGTGCATAATGGTGTTACAGGAAAGTTGGAGATAAAATCGTAAAGTCGAATGGTTTCCGACCGCACAGGAAAGCTTCTGCACTGATGGGGTGTTATCACCCAACTTAGCAGACGCGTAAATGGGTTTCACAGTTGTCCTCTTGTACAACTGCTTCAATAAGCTGCAATCTGCTGGAATGCAAACCAAAGTTTCTTAGTGGTTTTCTACCTGTCGTAGTTGGGATGCTCCATCTGTATCGTTGCTGGTGACTTCAATAGGGGTGACACAGTTTTTATTAACACGCTGGATCTGAGCAATCCGGTGGAATTCCCAACACTTGTGACTTGAAGCCATGTTGTTGACTCTTTTGGGCGAATCCAAAGTTAGTGGTTTGGATTTGTGCTAGAAGCTCCTATTGTTAAGCGACAAACCGCTTAGAAGCCTTGAGCTAACGTGTTTCCACCGGAATCAAATAAACACAAAAGCCAACACGGGATAACGCGTTAGCTCAACGCTTGCAAGTAGTTTGTCGTTTACGCTCGATGCACGTCTGGATTTAATAATTACTAAGAAACGCAAGCTGTTTTTCGCACAAGGACACCCCCTTGGCAATTCGGACCACTACATCATTAAGACATGTCCCAATACTCAATGTGACGTCAATTATCATACGCTGACAGAGGCCATTCAGAAGTGCTGGACAGAAAAACTGCTAAGATTGAAAAGACAATTAAACTGATATCCCAATTTTCGCAAATGAAGACTTGTCATTTCAATGCGAGCAGCTTACAGACTATAAACATTGCCAAATCCATGTTACCTCATTGAGACTAAATATTTGCGGACTGATGGATTTTTTTCTCCACTACTGAAGCAACTGCGTAGGAAAAAGAGCAGGTTTATAAGCTAAATTTCCGTGCCAGATGTTTGTCTGTGGCAATAAAAGCTGATAGAAGATAGTTAAGCAGCCTGTGTATTGACGGCGTTAAAGGAAACCACAGTTGCCGTGATTAGTAGAGGCTCTTGAAGTAACTCTCTGGCAAACATTCGTGTAGGCCATTCGAAAACGCAACCTAAAATTCAGCCCCTGTTCATATGACCGGCCCGTGGCCGAAAGGACAAGGCGTCTTGCAACCCGGAGATCGCAGGTTCGAACCTGCATAGGGGACCCGGTGACCCTCGCAGTATCTGTAGCCCACGCGCGACTGGTGGTTATGTGGCAGCGAAGCGTCGGTACGGCGCAACGCTGATGCCTGTCTTTTACTCTTCATCTGACACAATTCTTTAACCTTCCTTCCCCATCACTGATCACCCCACGTTATCTGACCGTACCAATGTTTACAGGGAACTCATAAGACTGAAACCATACAAGGCTAGTGACCCTGTTGTCCTATCTCTAACCGCTCTGAAAGAGTGCGTGGATGTATTATAGTCACGTTTGACGGAAGTTTTACGACTGATACTATCTCCGATATCTGAAAACCAGTCGGAAAAACACCAATTTCTAAGAACGAATCATAGAGGCATCGGTCAATAAGGTGCACCAACGTGTCCTTGAAGATTTTTGACAGACTACTTATCCTCGCATTTTCACAGACGGTCATATAGATTATATCTAACAGTTTGCCTATACACCGGAAGGCTCTACTCTGAATGTTGTTTCGTATATTGTGTATTCCATAGTATATACTTTCGATAGAAAACGCAAGAGGGAGCGTCAATACCAAACTTCCTGCTCAAGAATGGTGTCCCCCATATGCATGTAATGTAATATGTAGTTATTTTACATATGCTTCATACTTTACTCAGATTGGAGAGGAAGGCTTGCTGCAATCCAGGCTAATTGTGGTGCTCTGTGTAAAGAAATATGTATCCCCTCTCTATATTCTCTCTATGTTGAAAGTCTGCCCATACCATCCAGTCTCATCATGCGTACGTATGCTGATGACGTTGTCCTAGGGTGTATAGACCAAGCAACTGAGGAATCATCGAAGCTCCAACGAGGATTACACGAACTCCTGACTTGGTCAAGCTCCCGATCCCAATCCCTTAACCCATCCAAGTGCTGTGGTGTATCATTCCTTTTTTCAGTCCCGACACATTGCATTCACTTGCAAACACCTTCCCTCCTTTAGTTGAGTGTTCAAATCATCCCTCATTCAAGTACCTTAAAGTGTCACAGTGTTTTCCCGTCTTACAATTTATCCTGGTCCTCACATTTCATTCAGGCTTTTGAAAAAATAAGAAGACTATCATGCCCTCAGGGCTAAAATGTCTTGCGTACCCCGAGCTTTAATTCCAAGATTTTTAACTGCGTGTACACCATTCCATCGGTTTTACGGGTACCCCTGTTACTATTCCCGGTTGTATTCAAAAACATTAGACTCTTCCTGTGCGCTCATGAAAATTTATTTTCCAATGCTCTGGAGAAAGAAAATATCTCTCTTTGATCTTATCGTTACACAGCATTTCGACGCACGCTTCCATTTTTCACCTAGGAATCTGAAAGACTTTACCCACACCCTACACAATGTTCTAGCCAGCACGGTATACGCTACCTCCAAGCGGCTGAAATCCAAAATTTTATTTTCTCGTGTCGCAACTGCCTGCTGCCCTATCTGCCACGCTTATCAGTTGACCAAAAAAGAAGAATGCACCAGTTGAGAGATCGCTTACTCGAATAAAAGTGCACTCTCTTTTCATTGTCACTGTATTTGTTCATCAACGTTATGTTGTGTTATATCTGTATATTGTTAGTGTGTAAAATGCTGA